GGTGTCGAAGTACATGAAATAGCCAGCATCTAGGAAGAAATCCAGGTGGGTTTGGAAGATCTTCAGAAAAGGAGACTCCACAACCTCTCTGGGCAGCCTGTTCCAGGGCTCTGTCACGCTCACAGGAAAGAAGTTCTTCCTCACATGGAGGTGGAACTTCCTGGGTTTCAACCCATGACCCCTTGTCCTGTCACTGGCCGCCACTGAGAAGAATTTGGCCCCATCCTCCCTACATTCACCCCTCAGGTACTTAAACATATTGATCAGATCCCCTCTTAGTTTTCTCTTCTTCGGGCTAAACAGGCCCAGCTCACTAAGTCTTTCCTCATAAGATAGATGCTCCAGTCCCTTAATCATCTTTGTCACTCTGTGAATTATCTTTGTCTCTCTACTAATTCCCCACTAAAATTCACTTAAGTGATCTTTACTTTAGAGTTCAAGTATCTACCCTTATCCTTATATTTACCTTTGTTTTCATTTGACATTCACTAACTCATCATTGCCCGCATTTCTTATCACACGCGTTCTTATCACACGACCTTGTCACTTCTTATCGATGTCGCATTGCTCTGTAGTTATTCATTATAGTCGATGATTACACTATTAAGTGAAATTCTTTTAACTATTGTGTGAAAGCTTTCCCTTCTCGGGACATGTTCCTTGGACTCTCGTGGTCCAATGCCTGGGGTGTCACCAGTCCAACCTGCAGGTGTATAATCACAGTATGGCCTCCTATACGGCCAGTGGAGCTCTCACAGCTGTTCTGTGTTTCATGTTTCCTCTGAGTAGGTCTGGGAATATTCTTTGCTGCCTCCCACCTGGTATGTTGAATGCTTTAAGCACATATGCTGTGGAAACTTTGTCAAGGGTGCCTGGCTGCTTTATTCACACATAAGGCACTTCACTGCTAAGAAAGTAGGATCTATGACTACTGTTGGTCTTGGGGCACTTCAGCAAGGGCCTACAGCGATCAAATCAAAAGCCCTGCTGCTAGGTCCTCTCTCTGACCATTAAGCTGTACCTACCCTCCCTCAGGTAGGCCAGGAAAAATAAAAAAATATGGGATTGGCAACTGTGTGAGCAAAATATGGTCCATCTGTATTAGAAACCTAAAATTAGTCCCTACTTTTTAGATAGCAGCAAAAGCAGTTCTCCAAAAGTATCTAAATTCCTGATGGAATTAATGAGTCTTAGAAGGCCTTGGAAAGGAGAGGCACTCCACAACCTAACAATTCATTTAGGCCCTTGAGAGATCCTTAAAGGCACTTACCCTTCTGCATTAACTTTCAGGGAACATGATTACTTATTTTATGCTGAGTCACTAGATATTAAAGCATAAGTGCAGGTTAAGTTTTTATTTTAGACAGGCTCATACTTGGTAATAATATCAAACAGCTAAAGTCTTTTTCAACAACAATCATATCAAGAAAAGAAGAGGAAAGAAGAATAAATATCCCAGAGAAAGTTTAGAAACATGTTCTTGTAAAAGATGTCAGATGATTTTCTCGAGTTACTTTGCATTCTCACATCTGATTGATAACTACCAGCTTTATGGGAGGTTGAGGCTCTGTTTTATTTTCCAGTGACTGTTTCAACGTAAGGGAAATAGACTCTCATCCTGATGACAAGTCAAATTCTTCCCTCATCAAAGATTAAAAAAGCACAACTGAGTGGTTTTGTGGCTGTGATTCTTGCATTCTATACTTAGATACTTTTTTCCACCAAAGTTTCATGAAAGCTGACTAAATAATGACAAATCATGTCCTTCCTTAATCATTACTCTCACTTGCTAACTACAACCTGTAACTGTGACTGGATTTGACGGCACCTTTTGGAGATTCTCTTCCTCTGAAAAATGTCAAATTAACATTTTAAAATAACATTATAATGAAACATGACTATCTTCAGAACAGGTACTCCTTAAGCTTAACTTATTGTTAGCTTTGCAAATGCAACATTCATCAGTGGTCTATGAGTGCATGAAATAGCACTATTTCATACACTTCTTACCATGTAGCAACATAATTCTTACTCATACTTTGAAAGTTGCAGTAAATTCTCTTCCAGGCTATATTTAAAAGGACTCTAGTTAAAATGGTTTGTTGTTCACTTTTTTGTACTGTTGGTCTGGAGAACATTCCACTATCTTCAAAAAGCTTAATGATCACACTAAAGAGATCATAAACTCAGACTGACAGTGCCAAGACACATGAAAAGGAAACAGCGTTTTGCTTAGCTGGAAACATTACAGTTAAGTTGTCTGTTGAGTGTCTCCTGAATGTAATAATTTAATCATCTGCTGTGTTCAGAGTAGACAATGCTGGAATTTCTATGACAACATCTTTAACAACTTCTCTAAACCTTACGTCAAACCAAACTGCCCAACACAGGCACACAAGTGACTGTTATCCCGGCTACCCCGTTTTCTTTGGATAGGTGCTCTGTTACTTGGTTTTACCTTCACAACGCCCAGAAAGTGTGTGGTCGTCTTGCCCTGTAGCACTGCTCTGCTGATGGACCCAGTCTAGGTCATCTCTGGTACCTTGAATCATACCACAGATATTTTCAAACTCAAAAGCACACTGGTCCAAAAGAGTGTGTGTTGAAGCTGAAAAATAAATGCATACATATTTATATCCAAAGAGGTATCCCATTTAAAACAAAATTTGGATATTTCTACTCTAATTTGGGTTTTTGTTTGTATTAGTATAGATATCATGTACAGAAGACCTGATCAATGCAGATCTGAGTCCTAAAACAAAGATTCAAGGGAAAAACAAAAAGGTTAATTCCCAGAGGGATTCCCTGCATAAAGATACCAAGATCCCACCACACAACACAGTTGCTTTGTGAACAGTGATGTTGACTAAAGATTTTATCGTCCCATTCCTGTATTTAACTTCTGGATATTATCAGCCTCCACGGCTCACTTGTCTGCCTGAGTTTAAGAGCATGGTTTAATTGACTTCAGGCAAAGTCTATCCATTTAGCTTGGGTCAATTCAGCTAAGTTTCCCTGCAAGTGGATGTTCCTGTTGGCAGAGCTGTGAGGACAATAATTTCTAGCTAAAAAGTACAGATGTGATAATATCTTTAACCATCGGAGCAAACAAACAGAAAGAGTGATAAACTATAGATTCAACTCATATCAGGTACAACATTATGTATCTGGTCTATATTTCGGTAAAAGAGAATCCCCAATTGCATTCACCTCATACCAGAGGCCAGAGAAATTGCCCACAAACAGCAAAACACAGCCACATGTCTGAGCCCCAAGGAGCAACATGGAAGAGAAGATGGGAACGAGCTGACTTTCAAACTGAGTGTTATAAAAGTCATGACAGCAGAGCCAAAGACAGGGACAAGGAAGACATGAACAGTCTAAGTCTCTGTACCACAGGTACTCTTCAGTATTGCCTCAAGAGCACCTGAGAAGAATTTTTTTGTTTTTAGAGACTTAAGGGAAGTAAATCAAGAAGGCTAAAGTGTAAACATAGGAAACAGTTTGCCGTCTTTAAATTATGACTTACTGCAGTTATACATGCGATTGAGTCTTTCCAGGTCAATGGCACTGATGTCTAGACGCTGTCCAATGATGTTATCAAATGCTGGTATCTTCGCTGTGATTGTGGGGATGCTGTCATTTTTGTTGAATGAAAATGGTCCATAGTGCATCACTGATTCATAGTCATAGGGGGTGTTCAGATCAGTGATGTAGCTGTCATCATACTTCTCAAAATTATGTTCCCTGCCTGAAAAAAAAGAGCATGAAAGTGGTTCATCCTTAGAGCAATCAGAAAATAAATGGATTTAGCAAGGCTCTTTGGATACAATTTTCTGAGGTGGAATTGATCTACTCAAAGCAATTGCTTTTTGGTAGATGGTTCAAAATCCATGTGATTTGTTTATGAGGTAATGTGGACAACAAAGCATCTTTAGTTTGCAGTTTCCCACCCCACATGAGTTGTGTAGGTTCAAAACCAAATGTAAGGCATCCGTAAAGACCTGTGATATCTTGGAAGTCAAATTAGGTTGTCTAATGGTCCCTGGTAATCATCCTGAAGGAACACATTTAGGGATAAATGTACTCCATGCCAGATTCTGGGGACAATGATGCAAACATTTTCCAGGCCACTCAGGGGACAGGAGCGGCAGTTCTGCAGTGTCCCCAGGCTCTGCTGTCCTTCAGTGCAAAGAACATGGTACGAATAATTGCCAAAGCAATGAGGTTTTACCCTAGATTAATCTTATTACTACAGCCACACCAACTTGCATGTTTTTGTTTTATTAACCTTTTTTTATTTTTTTTTCTGAAAAATACTTGCGTTCATTCTCTCCTAAATGACTGTACTCAGAGGACAATTACTTCTCTGTGTACAACTGCCCTTCCCTTCTTGAAAAGCCCTATACTAGGCACAAAGGTCTTCAGTCCAAGGCTCGAGATTATATAAGAGCTTGCGGATTATTTTCTTTCAGATTCTTGAAATGGACCTTTTATCAGAAAGGGTGAGAATCTTGCTAATCAAGCACTATTGCTTTTTATAACTGGGAATAAAATCGTGGCAGAACACAGCCTTGTGTAATAATGTTGTTCTTTAAGATCCTTATCAGGAAAAGAATATCTTTTAGATGTCTTTAAAAGAAATAAGCCATTCAGTGAGAAGGCAACTTCATTTCCTAGGTTTTCTTGTGTATTTTCTCCAAAGCCTAATAAGTTTATTAGCTTTTCTGTCAACAGGAACATGAATAAGAGATTTTTTTTTCTCTAACTAGCCAGCTATTTGCATTGAAGTTTATGGAGATGCATTATGGTCAAAAAACATCATCACGCTATTAAATTTGGGCTTCTAAGTCATTAATGACGAAGCAGATGGGAAAATAAATGCATGAACCAGCCTTCTAAGACTTGGTTTAAGAGGTAGGTAGTTACAGAGCACAGCGTAATGGGTCCCAGAAGTCAGGCTCTAAGGATTATCATCATCACCATCATAGTCACCATGATTCAAGTGGAGACTAAGTTGGTAAATTGGTAAATAAGGTGAATTGGTTTTAGTGCTTTTCATAACAATAAAAATCATGGCCTGCCAAAACATGGATATCCACATCCCACCTACTGCTCAGCCTCCCCAAAAGAGAGTGCAGTTACAGGGCAGAGGCAAGTGTGAGTGCAAATGGCCATGTAGCTTGGCATCACAGTGCACTACTACTGGGAACAAGAGAAGAGTTTATATTTGGCCTTTAAGAAATTGTTAAAGACTACCATTCACTCTGTTTCAAATATTATATTATTAAATTATAAGGGAGACAGGCCTCAGAGGCGACAGAAATGAACACTGCCTAGGTACTAGGAGGACTATAGAGAGCTTGCTGAAACTCAGAAAGCTACCAAATCTGATTAAACTAAACATGAAACCAAGGACCTACAGAGATACAGTGGGCAGGGGAGAGTGGGAGAGAACCTTATTTTATGTATCTCATCTGATCTAGTCTCTTTGAAGCTTCTTTATGTACAAAGTGAATCCAGTTTCTGGAAAACCTGAGTCTCTGATTATAAAACCATTTCAGACTTTGAGAAGACCTGACAGTAAATGTAATTTTACATTACACAGCAAGAAAGGAAACAGTCTCTTAGAGAGAGAAAGCATTTTGTTCAAAATGGCTACAGT